GCGAGCATATATATATATATGTATGTATATATATATATACACATACATGTATAAGCATATATATATATATATAACTATATATACCAGAACATACACACACTAGCACACACACACACACACACGCATGCAACCGCGGACCACCACCCATTCTTGCCATTCCGATTCTCGCGATTATAAATTTGAATGTGACTAGAACTGTTGTTGGTATTATGTATACAAAAAGAGTTACATATCTCAACGTTCTGTAGGCTTTAGGTTTGCACCTGGAAGTTGGACGATTTTGGATGCTGTGACCCCTTCCAGCTTCGGCATTAGGGTTCGGAGGTGTTTAGACTGAAGCCCAACACTGAAACCGTAAAAGGCTTAAAACTAACAGCTTGAAACTCAAAAAAGCAAAAAGCCTCCTGTTTTCGGGGCTTGAGCTGAGCTGCCTGCCAAACTCTGAACCTTGCGATTGAGTTCAGATCCGCAAAGCCGTGAGGTTCCAGCTACTGAGCTCTTGCTAAGGAATTATCGAAGTTACCATGTACATGCCTTATCGTATGTTCCCAAGCGCCCGGGCTAAAACCTGGTACAAGTGTGTTGTAGCAAGCCTTAAAGCCGAGAAAACCCTAATCCAAGCAGCCGGTTGCACCAAAGACTCGCCACAGGTTTGTCAATATGCGGAAAGGTGTTGAGCACCAGGCCATCCAGCACCCCCTTGTGTTTGGGCGGGCGTTCTGTTAACATGTAGTCAGTGTACGTGCGATGGGCTTTGTAACCCTAAACCATAAACCCTACAACCCTAAACCCTAAACCTTACGTATGTAGTCAGATGTGGGATTTCAACATCGGAAAGCTTTCAGAGGTTCTGTGTCAAGCGTAATTGGTCTGCGTGCCCACCCTGGAAACGCAGGCCATTTAGGCATCCGGCTGGCACTTTGGGATGTACTTCAGACCATAAGCACTGAAGAGAGGGAGCAACACTGCACAGCAAGGCAGTTGCCTTTTGGATTTAGAAATTAGGGATTCGGAATGAGGGCTTCGGGTTCAGGGTTCAGGGTTTAGAGTTTTGGGGTTACGACTTTTACGGCTCAGAAGGCTTCTGGGACGGAAGGCTTCGGGAAGCAAAGGTCTGTTTTTGCATGTTCTTCACAGCGGCTTGCAGGGCCGTACTGTTCCCCTCAACCCTGAACCCCTCAACGCTAAAGCCCAAACCCTGAGCTCTTGATCAATGGTCATCAGACACCAACTTGAGAGTGTGCAAAGCTTGAAAGCGGAAGCTTCGCACCGAGAGAGTCGAGTGCAAAGCATGACGGAAGAGGTACAGGTCGTAGAGGCGAATGTGCGGTATTGAGACTCTTATTACAAGCAGTTGCACGAATGTTGGCTTGGCCAGGATGGTAATCATCAACCAACATCGTGTTTTTCCCTTGTGGTTGCTATGAGCTCTCCGACCGTCCGCACACTGAGATCGTACAGACTGTGATGATGCTCGTGTCTTTATATTGCCGCTGCGGTTTGGAGCATCACTTTCGGGGTTTAGAAGCACTGCAAACTTTTAATCTCTGGACTCTCGTGAAAGCCTCGGCATATTCTTAGCAAGCCCCCCTCAAAGCCAACGTAGTGCAGAACTCCTACCGTAATCGAAGGTGTTGTCTGTACATAACCCTAAACCCTGATCCCTTTCTACACCCCAAGCCCTATACTGAACTTCCAGGATCCTGCTCAGCTGGCAAGCACCATCAGTAGCCACGAGGCAGGGAGGGTGGAGGGTTGAGGGGGTTTAGGGTTTGGGGTTTAGGGGTTTAGGGAGTTCGGGTTTAGGGGGTTTAGGGTTTAGGGGCGGCTGGACGTCGATCGTGTTCTTCACTCTTCTCGACTTAGGTTAGATATTGGACTGAGCAGAGCTGATATACCACGACCACATCTACAGAGGAGTTCACCTTCACATTTGTGGTTTGTGGACTGGGACACTCGCACTCGAGACCTACATCCTTTCTTCAGTTGCGGTGATGGCTCTTAACGATTGGCAGCATGAGCAAAACCCTAAACCCTAAACCAGAAACCATAGCCCAGGGCAACCTGAAGCTGTGACAGGATCCATATGACAGAGCGGTTTACAATGCGGCTGCAGAAATCTTCTGGCAGAATGCCTCCTGGCCGAAACCTAAACCCAAATCCTAAGTCCTAGATCCTGATCCCTAAATTCGAATCCCCAAACCCTAAACCCTAAACCCTAAACCCGGATCCCTAAATTCCCAAACCCTAAACCCTAAACCCCAAACGATAAAGTGAAAGGATCAGGGACTTCGGATTTCAGCCTTCGGGCGCAGGGCTAAATTGTAGGCGTTTGGGGTTATGAAGAAAGCGTTGCGTTTACACGGTTTAGGGTTTAGGGTTTAGGGTTTAGGGTTTACAAGCCTTAATCTTTTGACCAGGGCTGGGGTGGAGAACGGAATTCTCTGCGGGAAGAGAAGGGGATATGGTTGGAGATTAGTCAATCAGACCCTAAACCCAAACTGAACCCTAAACCTCTGTTGGGGAAGAAGGATCTACGGATTGAGGTCCCACGGTTTCGGCCCAGCCCCTTAGGCCAAACCGTGCAAAACCCCAAAGTCCAAACCAAGCCATGAAGCTTAAGGTTTAGGGTTTAGATTTAAAATAGGGTTTAGGGTTTAGGGTTTAGGGTTTAGGGTTTACCAACATTACTATTTACCAATATTATTCCGGAGGCTCCTCATTATTTTTTTCTTTCAAGGAGCCCAAAACCCTATTCTGATTGTTAAGGCCCCTACGTTAGCCATTTCGCCTTGAGGGTTTAGGGCCCACGGGAGCCAAAAGGAAAGTCCGACAAAAAGGCAATACAGGGCCTTTGGTGCTTCAACTCGCGAAGTGGTGAGGTACGGGTCTAGTCTAGAGGCGTTCCCCTTAAGGGCGTACCCAGAGAGCCCAATACCCCTTCATCAAGGAATAGACTTAAATCATAATATTATGTCCCCTATAATTTAAGGTATCTTAAGCAGTTTCGGGTTTAGGAGCTTTCCAGCGCTCTTTGGCTTTCGGGTTTCAGCCATTCGGATTTGGGGTTTCTTACCTGGGCATGAGGACAGCCTGCAGCATAATGTGGTGGCCTTAAAAGTCACCTATACTATTTTGGGGGTTCCTTCTTGGCCCAAAACCCTATTCTAGTTAATTATCAAGGGCCCCTATATTGCTGAACGTCGTCATTCCCAGCAATGTCGTCAGTATATTGACGAAGACGACCAAGATTCCTCACAATTTAAGCCTTGAGCCAACAAACCCTAAACCCTAAACCCTACCCTAAACCCTAAACCCTCAACTTTAGCTAGCAGCCTTGGACGTGAGAACCCCACCTCAGGTCCAAAGGTTCGACGTGAACACTGCGACCTGCGCCAGGCATCGTAGCGGTCTTAGTGTCAAAACGGCCGAACCGACTCTTGATCTACACGGTTTACTGTTGGGGTTGCTACAACTGATAACAACCCCAACATTAAACCACATAGATCTGTTGTAACAAAATCTGGGCCTGCAGTCCAAACATGAACTCCTCTTGCACCCGGAAATTCTGGCGCGGGGGAGATTCTGATTGCCACCCTAGTTATTAGAGGCACTCTTACATTAGCCTTTAGGGTTGAGGAGATTATTATACATTAATTATGCTACAGAAGATTCAGGGCCCTAAACCCTAAACCCTAAACCCTAAACCCTAAACCCTAAACCCTAAACCGTAGACTCTGACCTGGCGCCGGCTTTGTGGTGTCGGTGTGTCCAGGGTTTCCGGCTTTGGGGCCCCGGCCGAAGCCAACACCCGAACCCCGCGTCTTGGGGTTTAGGGCTTAGGGCGCAGGGTTTAGGGTTGAGGGCCTACAGTTTAGGGTTTGGGGTTTAGGACCTATACAGTTGAGGGTTTAGGGCCTACAGTTTGCGGTTTAGGGTTTAGGACTTGCATTTTAGGGTTTAGTGCTTACAGTTTAGGGTTTAGGGTTTAGGACCTATACAGTTTAGGGCTTATGGCCTACAGTTTAGGGTTTAGGGTTTAAGACCTACAGTTTAGGGTTTAGGACCTACAGTTTAGGGTTTAGGATTTCGGGCCCATAGTTTAATGTTTAGGGTTTACGGCCTACAGTTTAGGGCTTGGGGTTTAGGGCGTAGGACTTTGGGTTTAGGCTTTCGTCGCAACTTTCACAACCCTTGAGACAATCTGATTTACAACAGAACTCGCTACGTGATGCATTGGCGGCGGGATGATGGTATTACAGGTTTAACAAGCTCCAGTCAACGCTTGTCCAAGCAAAAACATGCACGATTGTGCTCTTAGTCAACCGCTTATGTACTTTTAAAATGCTGTAAGGATCGGAAGCATTCGTAACTTACGGTATCCCCACATCATTTCTATGAAAGCATAGTCCGATGTACCCACGAAGCCCTATATTCTAAAAATCACACAACCGAAATCCTTGACGCGGTTCCTTCCCGCTGCATTGCTCAGAATATTAGTTTCGTTCTTGTTTAGATGGTTTGGGATCAGGGTTTCGGGTTTAAGGGTATAGGCGGTAAAGCACGTTAGCTGGTGAACATCAGCATCTTCGTCTAAGTAGATAAATGCGATGTTTCTTGATACCCACGTATGTAAAACCACCGGATGACCAGTTGGTTACATGCCTCAAACCCTAAACTCTAAAAACCAAACCCTATGAACCCCAAACCCTAAACCCCTAAACCCTAAACCCTAAACCCGAAACCCCTAAACCCCTAAACCCCCAAACCCCTAAACCCCAGACCCTAAACCCTAAACCCCTAAACCCCAAAAAAGCCCTCAAACCCCAGCTGCTCAGGACGTACCTCGTCCTTCAGCGGGGCTCCCCAGAGAAAGAGGGTTCCTCTAGTGGCTCCTAAAGGTTTAGGGTTTAGGGAGTTGGGGTTTAGGGTTTGGGATCTCAAGTTCCTTTAGGGTTTAGGGTTTAGGGTTGATTCAGGGATTTCGGAGTAGAGTTAAGGCATTTCGGGTTGCCGGGTTGAGGAGTTCGGGGTTGGGCACTTTCCGTAGTTGCCTAGTTCCTCAATGCAACTTTCATGCGTGCTGCGTTGTTGTTGGTAGAGAAAAAGACTAGAACCCCGTTACCTGGAAGCTACTTCGACATGGAAATTTCCATACCTTAAAAAATGTTTACATGAAAGGAACGAAGAGAAATTAATGTGCGGGCTGTGGATTTCGATGCGTGGTCTTCAGGACAATATGAAAAGTCCCAAGGGCACATCCTGCTGCCACATTCGAACTTAAATAAACCAGATACGGGCGATTAAGATTAATATATATATATATATACATACATATATATATATATACCTGTCCCCTGATGTATACCCTTCGTCTTCTACACAGGCGTTCCCTTAGTTCTGTTGGGTTATAACTCGTTAGGAGGAGTTAGGCCCTAACGCCGGCTAACTTTTCGTATCTTTCTGCATGGCTTTCAAGCAGAAGTATGAGTTGAAGTGAGAATGGCAACATTTGCGAGGCATGTGAAATAGGTTCAAGTGGACAAAAGAGCTCCAAATTTCAAGAAACTGAGCCAAACGAAGAGAAAAGTATTAAAAAGGCAACCTTAACTCCTAAACCTTGAAAGCTATGCGGACAACATTTTCTTTCTCAGTGCAAAAGGGTCACGCACTCACCTTCGGCGAGACTCCAACAAG